TTTTGGTTACTATAGCTTTGTAGTACAGTCTGAAGTCAGGTAGTGTTATGCCTTTGGCTTTATTTTTTTTGCTCAAAATTGCTTTGGCTATTCAGGGTTTATGAATGTTAGGATTGTGGTTTCTATTTATGCAAAGATTGTCATTAGTATTTTGATGGGGATTGCATTAAATCTGTAGATGGCCTTGGGTAGAATGGACATTTCCACAATGTTAATTCTTCCAATCCAAGAGATGGGATGTCTTTCCATTTTTTTTGTGTTCTCTTTAATTTCTCTCCACAGTGGTTTGTAGTTCTTGTAGAGATATTTCACCTCCTTGGTTAATTTTATTCCTAGGGATTTATTGCTTAGTTGTTTGTTTAGTGACTATCTAGGAGTCTTATTCATACTAGAACCTTCCAATGCTTTTCTTCATTCACCCTACACATAGTTAAAATAATCTTAAAATGGCATGGGTCATTTTCCTCTAGCTTCATTATTCAAGAAGCACAAATTTATAGATTTTTTTATTGCCAAAAATAACCTTCTTGAAGAATGAGTTTTTCTTTGACTTTTATTTTACTTCAATTTACTTGCAATGCACTATTCTGAAATTGTTAAGCCCCCATAATAGGGCTGCATCTCCATGGTTACTGTGACCTCTCTCTCCTGAGTGACCTTGGCCATACTGCAATGTTACTGGATTTTTCAGCAAACTGTTCAGTCCTAGTTATGCTTCAAGCCCTGGGTATTGAGGAAACCAAGCTATAGGTCTCCCCAATCTGAAAAAGTCCAGAGTCTAATAAATAGTACCCCACAAAAGAAATGATGCAGGAGAGAGAAGCACAAGACCCCACATGGGGTAGAGGGAGAGATCACCTCTGCCTGAATCAGGAAGGACTCAGGAAGACCTCCCATACAGAGATGAAATGGAGATCAGGGGGAAAGAAGAGGTGGAGATTCCAAGGAGAGGGACTGGTGTGAGAAGACAGGCACCAGGGAGAGACCACAGCGATGTCTGTTCCCACCGTCCCTTGGTGGCTGTGTGAGGATGGTCCAGAGGAGGGAGAGGCCGGGGCAGGATGGGGATTTAAGAACCTGCAATGGCAGAAAAGAGAGATGAGGAGATGCTCTAGGACCTAGGACTGTAGGAGGGAAGAGAGTGGAACATACAGGGTGCCAGCATCATTGATTGAACTCAAAGAAAGATTGGGTATGGGGACTGAGAGCTGAGGGGCCTGAGAGCACCCAGCCAGCTCTGAGGGGGACGCCACTCACAAGATAGTTCCCAGACAGGGCACCAATATGCTGAGTCTGAGAAAACTGTGTTACATACAATGAAATAAGTCTATGCCAATAGCAGGGACCTGGAGCTTGAGAAAAATGTGGAGTGATAACTGTAAATTTTGGAGTCACTGTAAAAGGCAGCAATTGAAGACACAGGAATGGGGACATGTCATAGAAGTTGGAGAAACAGAAAAAAGTGACCCGTTAGTAAATGTAGGAGGAACAATTTTCAAGGAAGAAATGAGGATCTGATGTCGGAGGTAGGGTCCAGGGGCCTGATAGTCGGCCTCAATCCACCCAGTCCTCTTACCAGGTTCTGCCACAGGAAAGAATTCAAGGGCAGAGTCATGGTAGAAAGTGAGAACAAGTGTAATATAACAGATAAGAAATACAGGTTCCACAGAGAGTGCAGCCTAGCTCCAGAGACTGAGCAGAGCCCACACCAAGCTTAACACAAACGTAAGCTCAGTGCAGACATCAAGTCTAACAGTAAGACAACAAACATATCCTTAAAGTCCAGTACAGAGTGTGGGCTGGCTCAAGAGGGTGAGCAGCTGCTTGCTGAAAGTAAGTTTGATACAAAGTAAAGTGTACACACTTCAGCCAGCAAGTGCAGGCTGCCTCCAGGAAAGTGACCAACAACCCTGCCATCTGCTGGGATTCCGCTTTTGTAGTTTCTCTATCTAATTAATATTCAATTAAAGGGGTGACTCCTAGTCGTGTAACATGTAGTCTTGCACATCCTCAGTCTTTTCCTGGAGCCTGTTCCTTGGTCAGACCCTATCACATGCACCAGGCATATTCAAAAATATTCTGCGCTATTGTGCCTGCCCAGCCACTGGATTTGCATAATCCAGCCCCTGTGGTCTCATTTTCCCCTGTTAGTGCTAAAAATAGGTCTAACTGGCAACAGTAACTTTCCTGTAGGCCAGATCTGGGGGAGGGGGCCTGAGGCCTCAGGGAGTGGCTGAAAACCCAAAAGCTTTCCTGAAACCCAAGCCAGGAGAAACTGAGCACCTCCCGTATCAGATCCACGAAGTCAGAGGCTTGAAGCCAGGGAGGGGAAGCTTGAGGGCAGCCTTTGGGTTTGGAGCGTGGGGGTGATCAGCAGCGAAGTGATGGGCACTAGTTAAGGACACAGCAACTGAAAAGAGGGGAGGGTAAGGAGACGAGTCTGTCCTGGGGGAAGCAGAGGGGCTTTTCAGGCAGGTTTAAAGGTCAGGACTGAGAAGGACTCGGAAAAGGAGCAGGCGGCGCCACAGCCGCACCCGGGCAGGCGCCGCAGTCCTCGCTGCAAACGCTCCCGAGGCGGCGCTGCTCTATGCCTGTCACAGACGGAAGCTGCAGCTTGGCAGGGTGGGACACCCGCCCAGCGTCCTTAACCACCTGTTGGGGACTCTCCGTAAATGAGGGGCCAGGGGGTCGGAAGTGGGTAAGCCACGTTCGGCAGAGCCCCGGGGACAGACCTGAACTCAGCGGGGCCTCTGCGCTTCCCCTACAGCAGGCCCAGGTGGCCGCTGTGAGTAAGGGACATGGGGGCCGGGGGTTCTAGGCACAGACGCGACGTGGGGATGGCAGGGCCCGCGAGGCCGTGAGCGAGGGGCTCGCTGCCGCTGTGTCCTCCAGGAGCCTCAGCGGCGCCGGTGGCTCAGCTGCGCTCGGGCGCCTCCCGTGTGCCTGCCCCGCGACACGTCCCGTCCCGGCAGGGAGGGGCTTGGCAAAGGTCTGTGCGGGAGGTTAAAAGGCTGCGATGAGCAGGGAAGAAAGTGAAATCCCACTGGGCCAAGAGCGTGAAGACGCGAGAGCGGGAGAGAAGTCAGAGGGTGCGGTCAGGGGACAGGAACGTCGCCGGGGAGGCACAGCGCTTCTGGAGGACGGCAAGGGTCGGAGGTCAACGATCCGCTGAAATCGTGTGGGGATGAAGGTCGTCTTCGGTCAGGCGCACAATTTCAGCAACTTAGACACCAAGAAGGGGCAAGTCATGGATGTGCGTGTTCAAGTGGCCCTGGTGGAGGCGGGTGATTCAGGGGAAGTGACCCAGAGTCTAGAGGACGGACGGGGGACAGGATGGGCGAGGTATTTCTGGGAGACCCACACCCCGGTGGGCTGGGAGAATGCCAACCCTATTTCCTTTGCCAAACGAAGAGCCTCCACTTAAGATAACCTAATTACTTATAATTGAAACTCCAAATAGCTTGTAAGCATTTGAGGTTGGGAACGTTATTTTGTACATTTCCGAATCTCCTAAAATAGTGCCTTGAATATTGTTAGTTTTCAACAATTTTCCTCAAGAGGTCCATTAAAATTAGGGAGAAAAGTCAGAAAGAAAAAAGAGTATTCTAGTTTCCCTGGTGTAAGCAAAGTTCTTCAACACTTTTCTATCCTTCATATTTTCTTTCCAATGCGTTCTTTTAAAAATTCATTTCATAAATTTTAATATGCAGCTTTTATGCCTTAAAATTCAATCATCTTAACATGATAAACTCATTCTGTTTTGTTATTTATTGGTGTTTATTTGGGATACCATCTGGGAATTTTTTTAGGAAATGCCATTCTTACAGATGGTATAATTAGAGGAGGGGATAACAAGTAGGAACGTGGGCTGGAATGCACAGGAAGGGAATACTGGAAGTGGTGTTTCCACCTGCGGCCGCAGGCCAGTGCTTCTCGGGGCACGGATTCTGAAAGTCCCTCATGAAAATCGTTGCTCACTCTGTCCTCACAGATGACACTAAAGACCTCTCCAGAAGCCGCCTGTGTGCATGTGAACGTCCTGTTGCTGAACGTGAGGAGCAGCCCCTGCTGCTGCCTTCACCTGTGATGGTGGGGGGCGGGGGTGCTGAGAGCCTGGACTCCCTTCAAGAAGCACTTTATCCATTCTTCCTTTCAACATAAAGAAAAGTAACCAACTGTAATGGAAAACCAACTCATATTGAAAGGGAATATTAGGAGCAGTTCATCCTTACTGTGAAAATAATACCCTGAGCCCTGGCAAATATATCTACTGAATTTGGGGTAGTGTCTAAAAGGTATTTAATACAATTTTTATGTCCAAATGCATTTATTTTTCCTTTGTGTAAGAATTCTTACAGGCAATGCAAGTTTAGGAGGAGGTGAAATGGCAGGTAAATGGTCACGAGGTGAAAGTGATCTGGGCCCAGGATTTATAGACCTGGTGACCCTTTTCAATGGGACAACTTATCCCCAGTGAGTGTGTACTTACAGGGAAGCAAATAATTTTCTGATATTGTGTATTTTCTCCATTATAAAAAAAATATTCATTATAAACATTTTTAGAAAATGCAGACAAATGGAAGAGAAACCAATACCCATATTATCACTCAAAGATAACCATGATTAACATTTTTATGTACTGCTAAGTAACTTTTTCTCATATGCAGATTTTCTGTACAAATATATTCTACCTTCATCCATGCAGACAGCATTTCCCACAATGCCGTGACCTGCATAGAAATGATGGTATGCCACATTCTGTCCTGCCAAACAGATATTGCTTAATTGTGTCTCTACTGCTGGATTTTTAGGTGTTTTCATCATTTTTTGCTGTTACAGATGTATCCATGTAGACTGGCTTTGCCCATAGTTTGCATCATTTTCTTAGGCTAGACATCCAGGAAGAGACCTGCTCTCTTGACCATAGAGTGTGAGCGTGTTGGCTGATGGAGGTGAAGTACACTTGTTGACTTGGGGTTTTTTTCCCCCCTTTCTTACAGCTGTCTCATATACGAATTACAAAAAAACACCCCCACCAGTACCTCCTCGTACCACCTCCAAGCCTCTGATCTCGGTGACGGCTCAAAGCAGCACTGAGTCCACCCAGGATGCCTACCAGGACAGCCGCGCCCAGAGAATGTCCCCGTGGCCCCAGGATGGCCGTGGCCTCTACAACTCCACAGACAGTCTGGACAGCAACAAGGCCATGAATCTAGCTCTGGAAACGGCTGCGGCCCAGCGCCATGCCTCAGATAGCCAGAGCAGCTCCGTGCGGACCAGTGACAAGGCCGTTCTGGTGTCCAAGGCTGAGGAGTTCCTCAAGAGCCGATGCTCCTCCATCGGAATTCAGGTAGCCTCTCTTTATGGCATGGCTCTGGTGCAATGCTCCACCTGCTGCTGCAAATAGCATAGAATAAGTCAGAAATGGAACCAATAGCCCTAGGTCCTTAGCATTAACTGTAATCCTCAGCAGGGCAGTGAGACGTAAGAGCAAGGTCATGTGTTCACATTGCAAACTGCAAGGGCAGGAACAGGTGGCGAGCACCCCAGGGCAAACCAGATCCCAGAGCAGGGCTGCAGGAGACCCAGGGGCTCACGCTCCACACCCCCTGCCACCCTGGCAGGTCCCCCACCCCCACTTATGTGTTTTCTAGAGGCCAATGGCTACTTAGAGAGTGTGGAGATGAGGCTATTTTAATGCTTAGTAGGGGTGGTGTTTTTGTTGAAGTCTGATTTTTCAAAAGCTTTTCAGTCTTGCAGACATTTGAGTGGGGAAACAAAAAGATGCTGGGAATGAAAAGGTGAAAGGAGAAGCAGAGTCCTCCTTTGTACAAAACTTAGGGACGCTCACAGTGATTTCAGGTGTGGGTGGCAACAGGCCCTTCTCCACAGACCGCAGGGCACTCAGAGGCCAATGGCTGTGGC